AAAGAGTCAACCCAAGATAACTGGAATAGAGACGCTGTGCAACAGAAATGAGAATCACAGATGATCTAAAGAGCCTAGTTTTAGAGACACAAACATTCCAAAAGCCCGCTAAGCACCGTCACAGACTCCAGGAGCAAGAGTATTGTTTTGGTGTGCTGAGACGGGGAGGAAATGTGTGATACACAGGCTATGGAACAACTCTGACAGACAGATGATATAATAATAGAGACAGATCAAGAAAAAACATGATAAAGTAATTGTTGCTATGGGAAGAGCATGATCTATATAAATCCACATGTTCTACCACGCTGGCAGTAGAACGCTAGAAAAGCTGTATGAATGGCCAACATCCAGTGTAACTTAAACTCTCAGCATGGCTTTACCCCCAAATTACTTTGATTTTTATTTTATCAAAAAATTTGTTTAATAATGCCATAGGAAAAGAGTTGACTACTACAAAAACATATAAGGGAAAAAAAATCAACTATTCTTTGAGGCTTCTGAAATAAGCCTCAAAGTTAGAGTTGTATTTATGATCCAAGAGAGATGCTGGAATTACTAGTTCATTTCAACTCAAGCACTACTGGTTCCAATTGTAATTACATATTTCTCCTTTCTTTCGTCTTAGTAAACATGTAGAAAACTAAGCAAGCATGGTCAGTCAAAGGATGCTGTAAAGAACAGTTTCTACCTATATTAACAACACAGGCTTTAAATTCTCAGCAAGTCTCTCTACTCTGTTGACAAACTCCCTCCCATCTCCACAGCCTCGGACTGGACTACATCATCTGAGAAGGAAACAAACCTGAAATGCAGAGCACAGCTGGATCTCAAAATTCTTTTTAGGGCAAGATTTTGAGTTGGCACAGAATAACGAATTTCAACTGTTCTGAAAGCCTAATTCACGATAATACACCGTTACATCAGGTTTTCACATTAGCAGCCCACTCACACCTGAACACTGGAATAAGACAGATTTTCTGAAGTTACCTTCTCTTTCCATACCATTGTCCTTCCACATTTATGGCAATTTGACAGTTAAAGCTGCTAACATTTCTACAACAAAATCTGAAGCAGCAAGGTCAGCTTGTGCAAACAATACACATCAGGATGTTTATGTATTTCTGCTTTTTTCTCAGGAGTTATTTACTGGCAGTGCAAAGCACTGTGTGGCAAGTTTCAAGCAAAGAACTGCAGGGTTGTCAAGCAGTTAGTTATGTACAGCAGTACATGATGCAGTTTTATTAGATTAATACAATTGAGTTACCTACCTTGAAGCTTCTTTAATAACATTTTGTAAAAATATCAGTCGGGTTTGTAAGCTTCCTTGTACATGCTTCAGTAAAAAGAAGATTCTTTCATATTCTTAAAGAGAAGAGCAAAATCACAGTTACTTAAGAAATCCCTATATAGGCACCTGTTGTAATAGATCTGAGTGAGATGCAATAAATTTCATTCAGCTTTTGTAAGCCTTTAGGGTATATCTCCTATCAACCAAGCCTGCAGCAATGACATACTGCTTAATGAACACTACCGGCAAAAAAATACAAGGTGCTGCAGTTCAGGATATTACTGAAACACCTAACAAGTTAATTCTAATACTGATAATATAATATAAAAATTACTTTCATCATCACTGATAGGTATAGTAATGTTCTAATCACTCATCTAGGAAGTTCTCAGCAGAGATTTTTAAACAAATCTTTTCTGCTTGAAATTCATTTTGCTTCAGTCTCATGGTTCAGTATGTTCCTAAATCAGCAATCTAATGTGAACTCTTTGTCTGGCTCTCCCACCAATCATTTGAAAGAGAGATTTGATATACTTACTCCTTCCTGGTTTTCGTATCTCTTTCATAATTTGTGCTTTTAGCTCTATATTAATCTCTCTGGAACTTCTGCAATGCACACTTTTTTTCCCTTTGCTTGGTGAAGACACTGGCAAATTCTCTTCAGTACTTTGTTCTTTACTACTCGATTCCTCATGATTCTCCAAAAACTCATCGACATTCAAGTTGTTCTCTAAATGTTCATGGCCTGCATCCTCTGTATGAGCTGCCGGTCGATCCAGTGAGTTGAACGGTGAAGAGGGCATTGAAAACTCCGAGTCCACAGTATTTGGGAAAACATCCGATGAAAGTGGGTCTGTGACATGATTCTCAACCACATCATCCACTGTAACCTCATTATTTGTTTCTGATGCTGAAAAAAACCCATAGATGACACTTGCCAGTTTCATGTTCTTTATCATTTGATAGAAGTCAATGAGTCAGTTCAGTATTAAACTCTTGTAAAATTACGCTCCAGCTTTTCTAGTCTACTGTACGTGCCAAGCGTGTTTTTGGGTTGTAACACTGAGCACATTACTGTATCTCCTGGCAATTAATGGCTTAAAAAAATAAATAAATCACAGATATATTCTTTATATCAAAAGAGAAATTGCTATATGCGGACTAGCAACAAAAGAAAAAGCACTTGTAGAATGTACTTTTATGACATGCTTGTCTTTCCCCATTAAATTGGATTGACAAAGTTCACTTTAGTGCTGAACAGGGGAGGAAGACTGTTACACAGCACCTCAGCTTCACACCAAGGGAAGGGAATTCACTGCACTACAGCAAAATTCAAATTAACTTCATGCTGTGATCCTTTTGGAGCATCTGAATTCCCAAGTAAAGGAAGAACATCCTTCTGACTGTTTACATTGTCTCCTCATTTAATACAGGAAATGCATCATTTATACTGGGAAGTTCATATGAAGAGATTTCTGTTGAAGGACTAAATTAACTCTTCCTGCACGTAACCTCAGATGCATAGTTACACACTTCATTTTCAAAAATGAAGGATGACACTTCTGTATTTGAGAAACCAGCCAATGATATTGCCACATAAACAAGTTTTTTGCATAAAATTAAAAGCAAACTCTCTAAAGATGAAAATATTCACTTACTTTTGTGAATAGGAATAGGTTTAACAAGGTCAGGCTGTGCTTGTGTAGTTGGTGTTGGTGGCCCTTTTCCTCCAATATGATTATTCACAACCGAGGGAGTCTGTGGTCGACCTCTGAGCAGGGGGGACATACAACGTCGTCTTTTTGGGATCCCTTGCATATTTGGTTCTCCAGGTCTTTTCTGTTTATTTTGAGGTCCTGATACAAACTCATCTGCTTCATCTATCATCATTCCCTGTAAAATTAATTTCGTGGAGGGAATTCTTAAACATTAAACCAAAACCGCACAATATAAAATACAATGAACACTTTGACATTATGATGTTCACCATGTATATATAAGGTAACTATGGACAACTTGCTCTTAATTCTCAAATGTTGACCAAATCCTTCCTAAATCAATATATGCTTATGGCCCTTATCGAACAGTCTGCCAAGTAAGACAACTGAGTGGGCTGTCAAACTTCCTTTTCAGTAACTGCAAAATGACTCTAGCATTTAAAAGAGCTCTAAATAATATTGGTATTTCAGTCAAGTCCAAGACAGATTTGGAAAAAAGGAAGAGTCCATGCTCTCTAAGTTATGAGGAGCTTTCTATGGGGGAAGTTTGGAAAAGAAGCATGCTCAGCTATTAGCCGTACTATAAATGTGACAAATGTATTTAATTTATAATACAATTCAGAGGCGTAATGCTGGGTTTCGAGTAAGGGCTGCCCTCCATGGGCTACTACTGATGGAAAAATACCTGAGATGCTTTCTCATAAGTAGTACTTTTCCAAATACTTGCAAGCACACTGACAAGAACATACTTTTTAAGTGTTACAGAAAAGTCACCTTTTTGTCCAGTTTGAATGGGTTGCCAAATGTATGAAGCCTTCGTGGTTGATCAGGATCAAGCTCTCGCAGTGGCGAAGGTATTTGTTTTAGATATTCCTGGTAGTTTCCCATTTGTGCTATAGGTACACTGTGAACTTGATCTATCAGAACAGAAGGTTTAATTAATATATGATACTGCTCACCTTATGAGAATGTAGTTGATAGCCAACTTCACATCTCCAGTTTTCAGTCTTTTATCAAACACTTAAAAAACAGATGTGCAAAACTCACCATTATTCTTGCCTAACTGGCATTTATAACACCATGCTTTAAGTGCAGAAAACTTGCTTAAATGAATCAGTACTGACTTGTGTATTTATCATTAAGACAGGGAAATAAGCACCAGTTGTCAGGCATGGATGTTAAGTTTTCCAGCGGGTCCCATAACTTTTCAATAGGGTAGGTGGGTGAAAAAACCGCAACTGGGAACAAATTGTAACTAAAATGTTACTACAAACAAAAGATACATTAATGCAAAGTAGCAATGTCACACTGAATACAGCTTGGACACAACTCTACCCAATATTAGCCACCCAAAATTTAATTGTTGAGACTAGCATTTTCACAAAGCAATGGTGATCTTTGACCGCTGGAATCAACAAATTCTTGAAATCCACAGGACCTAATTCTAAACTTACTATGGTAATTAAAGTTGCCAAGCCTTTGATCAAGCAAAACATACACTAGAAGAAACTAGCAAGAAAAAGATCCCTAACATTAGTTTTTACATGGTTTAACCCCCCTCCCTTCAAAGAGTAACTTCTCTGTATTTCACATTCCATTATCACAGATGTTAATCTGACATAAGTAGTGGCAGGATTAATGCAACATACACTTCCACTTGCATTGCCCTTCTTGTTTTCTCCACTTATTTCACCATCTTCTGTTAGATGCCGTAAAGCAGTGCCAGAAGACACAGTAGAAAGGTGAAAGAAGAAATCAGCAGACTAATGAACTATTTGCTAATGGCCTAAAGGGCAAACGAGTCACACTGGGAGCATCCAGTGAGCAAGTTTACTTCTCCACCGCTCATAAGCCACTTCTACGGACAGAGATCGTAATGTTTAGAACTGCCCTGTGAATATTTTTTTCTTCAATGGGAAGAAACAGTGAATAAAAAAATCTTATTTGAAAGCCCAAGTCTTCTCATACAGACTAAAGGACAGAACAGTGAATATGCAGTCTTCTCTATTCTCACCATTTTCTCTTTCAATAAATTACTTATGGAAAAAAAAAATCAGAAAATGCAATTTAATGGCACTATCGGATGTCCACTAAGTTTTAACCATGATATTTGTTACAATCTCTACTTTTTTAGCAAGAATCATATCATGGGTCGACAAAAAAATAAACTGTTATCTAACCTTCATCTTGTCCTTTGAGGAACTTGCGAGTACTCTTCAGTAAATTAGATCTCATTCGTGTTAACTGATCCAAAAGATTTCTTCTGGGTATGTCATAAGCGTTTCTAAAAGTCTGAGGTTTCAAATCCTACAGTTCCAGTAAATAAAGACCTAATTAATGCCACGTATGAAACAATAACTAGCATTTCAATGGAAGTATATTGAAAATAACAACATTACACACAGTGGTGCTTACCTTATTCAGCAAAGCTATTTGGAACCCAGCATACTCCTTCATATTGAGGTCTAGAGGTCTATGAGGAATTTCCCCAGTAATCCCCTGTAGCAGATGTTGAAAATCGTTCCTATGTGCCATAGACAGGTTGTGTGATCTGCTTCTGACCTTAATTCCAGTCTCTTGCGCTACCTTTTTGCCTACAGAGCCAATGACTCTATCGGACTCTATTTTGGCCTTAATTTGAAATAAATAAATAAATAAAATTGACAATATGCTCTTAAAAGGATTAGTCAGACTTAATTCATTTTAAATTCCTACCTAGAAGATTCAACAATGTGCTAATACACTATGACGACCATAACCAGGATGAGTGCTTAAGGAGTGCTTAATACATAACCACTTAATGCTTACTACAATTTTCAATATAGTGAACAGTTTGTGCCTACGTCTTCTGCATATTTCTCCGCTGCTGCCCATTATGGTATCTAAGCACCAATATGCATGCAATGCTTTTATTTTCATCAATTGCCATAACTTGACTAGTAATTCTCTGCAAATCTATCTGTACTCACATCGACTGTTTTCTACAATAACAGCTAAATGCTGTCACTCTCAAAAGAGTGATTCTCCCACAACTATAGGTGTGATCAGTCACACGATAGTATCAACTTTTTAAAAGCTCAATACTCATAACATTAATAAATATGGCATACATGACAATACCCAATTCTGCTCAACTACATAGACCTAACACCCAGTATTATTTCAGATTTGCACCAAAATTAAACATGTTAATAAATGCCATTTTCTCTGGCACAACACAGTTGAACAAAGAGCCAAAAGTAATTTAGAAATACCAAGCCAATGTTGCTTGCAGTTTCACGTAAATTTATTGACGACTCAAAATTTGAATAGGTACTTATGAACAATACTGAGCCTCTACTGGCAGTGCCTTTCAGAAGTTAGAAAAGCTTCAAGTACCAATTGCAGTGCATGTCATTACATTTCAGGAGTCTAAGATGTTTAGGTTGAGCGATCGGTTCACAGAATACCGAGCGACATGACTATGATTTAATAGGATATACTGTAAACTTCAAGACATTTCCTTCCTTAAATAATCATTTATATTAATGTTTTCAGGTAAAGCTAGTCCGTAAGAACTCATGAGCTACATTACAAGTACTTGTAGTATTTCTTGAAGTTTCAAGCCTACTACATTATTAGCTTGAACAAGAAAACTCAACATGCACAGCTGAACAAAATAAACTGGAGGTAGCAGGGCAGAAATGCTTTAGCACGTGCAGGAGACTAGTCAAAATTACAGGCACTATCCTGAACACAGACAACAATTTCAAAAGGTCATGTGCCAAGTCTGTATCCTTATTTGAGATTCTGAATTATGTCAGTTTAAACTGACTGAGCACTTTCCAGTTAATCTTACAAGCCAAGAAAGGACACCTTCTGATTCAGATGCACAAAGTACAAATCTACTTTTCTGCAGAAATGTTAGAACAACTTTAATATCTAAGATAAGACAACATGTTTTCTTTTGGACAAAAGTTACTGTCTGCACAAATAAAAATGCTACTTAAATAATAATAAAAAAAAATTCTCAATTTGTACCTCCATATCTATCTTTAAAGCTCAGTCTCTACTTTCCCCTTCAATTCAGAAAACTAAAATGCTTTTTTGCTAATTGCATATGGAAAAGTATTAACTTGATCTTTCCGCTCTTTTTTTCCTTCAAAGCCACTGAACTTGAGTATTTTATGATCATCCTGATATTAGAATAAATTTTTACTGCTCTTTTGCTTCAACATTACCTGCTGACTCAACTTTTTGAGATATGAAATGACACTGTAACTAAGTCCATATTCCACATTGTCAGCTATAAGGTTTGGTGCTCCCATCATTCTCACAGCTTTCTTCAAAGGCTGAAACATGAAATATATTGTAGTGTCATATTTAACTCTGTAAGCATTGTACATAAACTTTAGCTATCTCTATCCATTTCAAATAGAACCTGAGGTCCTCCAAGGTAAAACAATTATTTTTTCCAGGCAGCACTGCTTTGCTGTGGTTTTCAAGCATTGCTCCATTCACACCAACTCAATTATTAACGGAGGTATCATTTATATACGAGTCAGAGCTGACAAAGTTTTCATAACACTCAGGTCTCACTCAAGCCTTCCAGAGGACTCTCGTGAAAACATTATATGTCATTATGCATGAAGTTTATCTATTCTCTTAAATTAATATGTATTCTATTTGAAATAGGGAATACACCCATACTGGAAAGATAACTACAGTTATATAACGAAATTTCAACACAGCCAGTCATCTTACCCCAAGATAATAAGGAGGCATTGTCTTCAAATAGCTTTCAAATGACTGTCGCCATTTTAATGTAGGTTTTGCCTTGTGTACTTTAAACAAGTCATCTGAGGGTTACAAAAAGAAACATGGCAAAATGAAAGGCACAACCAAAGACATGCCAGTTCCTCAATGCTTAAATTAATGTATGCATTTTATGTATTTTAACATATATACAACTAAGCTAAATATACACACACGTAAGACCAATGCTGCAGCCAAAAGACGCAACCCGATAAATTACTTATCAAATTGAATTGGGAATGGAGACAACAGATTAGGAAAAATGGCTCCTAAAATAATGAAACTATCAGAGACAAAAATAAATCTGAAAGAATGATGATTAAGCACATCATCTTACACAGCACAGTCTGAGTCACAAAGGTCAGCCAAGTGAAACAAGTTACTGATGACAAACACTGCTCAACATGCTACCTTTCCACAGGTGTGTGATTAATACTGGCATTAATTGCAGTATCCTACTTCAATAAGATGAACTTTTCAATTACCTGCCACCTGAGAAAATTTTGATGAAGTAATATTTACCTAACAGTGGAAGCAGGACTGGGTAGTTGTAAGGCATCACAAATAAATTCACACAGTTCAGCGCTGTACTAGCTTTCAAGTAACCAAAAGGGTGACCAAGTTCACTGTATTTTGCACTATTGCTTACATATACCTGCAACAGAACACATCATATTGTATGTAAATCCAAAATATCGCATGCTGAAAGTTTACATCTCATTTCGATTCTAGAATTAAGTCTATGAAAAACAGCATTCTATAAATAACTTCAATTCAGCATGCACTCTACTTGCCTGCCAGCAGGTCTGAGGGGATTTTCTTTCCAGGATAAACTGGGTCAGTGGTGAAGGTTCTAACTCGTATTTATCAAAAGGCAGTTTGTCAATGACCATCGGTTCACAGTCAGTACAGGAAAATTTCACCACAGGATGAGATGTGCGAGGTGGCTAAACATAAGCATCACACTGTTAATAAGTCTGCACAACGATTAAAATGCAACTGTGCTATGACAACAAAGTAACAGTTTTTTTGAAAACAGACATATTTAAGGAGTCTATTCAATTCAGGATTAATATTTACTGTTAATGAGTCCTAAGCGATTAATTTATCATGTTAGTACAGTCTTAAAATGCTACAGAATCTTATTTTCTAAGAAAAGGCCAAATATTTTACCCAGTAAGTCTAGAACTGTATGCAAGTAAAATTTCTTGCATATACACAAAAACTTTGCAAATGGAAGTAAATCCAGTGGGGATTGAAAAAATCTATGCTATTCCAGGGCATGCCCATTTTTATTCCCCACAGAAGCTGGCACCATACTTTTGAATTTGCTGACTTCCTCCAGCACTTTTCCTTCTTGGCAAACTTAATAGTTACAAAATTCAAACTGAATTATAATGACCAAGAGCAGCATGACTTCAGAAAAAGCAAGCTTTAGAAGAACATACATTTCAACTGAGCCTGTGAAAAATTATTTCAGTTCAAGCAATTTCAGCGTTTGGATTTTAATCTCTTTATTAATTGCAGGGAAAAGGCCGTTGTGCCTCCAGTTTCAAGTGTAAGTGAACAACATATTTGAAATTTCTTTTGCTGAAAGGGAAAGGCGATTTTGTGTGTGTGTGATGAAAATTGGAGCTGTAGGGCTCCGACTGAGAAGTTTTCAGGAGAGGAACATTAGCTCTTATACTTACCCTGAGCCTCCTCCAAGGCCACTAGAATCTGGCGAAGAGCTCAATCAAGAGGCCTCCTGCCATTTACTCTCTTTACATGAAGGTGACTAATAAATATGTAAAACAAACTAGGGAAAACACAGGGCTTCTTGGATCTTCCTATAACTTCATTTTGAAAGTAATTTTTCTACATTTATAGGCTCTGGCACCTCTTCAGTTTAGGATGAGCCACCCAAATGCTAGATGCTTGCAGAGCCAGGCTTTAGCACCTCCGCTCTGAGGAACATGTACTGTCCAAGGACACATGAAGCGGGAGGCCCAACCAACCGAAGGAACTGCAATTCCCTTCAGAGGAGATGCCTCCAGTAAATAGTTGTGGTGGAGTTTTTGACCAAGAAGCCATGAAGCAGTGATACTAGGAATAAAAAGGCTGCAGAACAAGTTGAATGCTAAGACTTGAGAAGTCCAATAACCCTCGGCTGGAGAGCAGAACTAGCTTTACCTCAGAGCTGTGGGAGCAGCCATTCACATGTCGATCTACCAACATAATTACTACCAGACTTTCACATACATTTAAGAAAGGCTTAATAGTATCATTACCTACAGGACACAAAGCAGTTGTTGGGGTAGGACTGTTTGAGACAACTCCACTGTGGATCAGGTAACAGGGAGAAAAAGAAAAACGTCTAACTATGGACTCCTAAGTAGAGAAGAGTTACAACATACGCTAGGCTGCAACACTGCATTTTCAGAACAGTGAGGAAATACAACTCTTGAAACACTACCAGTAAACTTAGCTCCCCACACTGCATAAAGAAGGTCAAATGTGGAATATGAATGTGGAATTCGAATGTGGAATTCGTCAAAAATCTAGCTGCACATACAATAAGCCAGTGCTCCACGCAGTTAAGAGCGCTGCAGTTGAGGGGAGAATTGCTTCTCATCTTCTCACCATCTGGCTAAGTCAACCTCGTGTTTTCAGCAATTTAGTTTAACAGCTCTTCGCTTGGTAAGATCTAATTCAGCAATTGCCATCAAGATCTGCAGCAGCAGACAAAACTGTAATGACGCCAGTGAATGGAGGCAGATACGCCATGGATAGTGATTACGAGGAGAGCATGTGACAGTTTTCCTACTGAGCAGCTTTTTTATACCCAGTACAACGACATTTTGCTTTTTAAATGACTACAGATTTACTTTTATTCATATATGCTAGCTTACTTCATAGTTCAGAAGGGCATCCTTCAACGGATGTGGTCACATGCCAGCAATATCAAACCTGTAAACATGACTAAAATTTCATACCTGTATCACTCCTCAACAACCTGTATTTCAAAGGATTTTACCCATTTTTCAAACATAGGAGATAAAATTTATGAAAAGTTCAAAAAAATCCATAAAAACCTCAATCAAAATCATCATGAAATGTAGGGAACAATTATACAACAGCACTACTAGTTTAATAATTTCTAAGAATTAGCAGAAATACAAGAATATATTATATTAGAGCAAGTATTAGTTAGATCAAGCAAAAGGCAGTGGCATACATTCTTTTATGAAAAAAAACTAATAAAATTAATTCTATAGGTAGTCCTAATAAAATTAATTCTATGGGTAGTATTTTAAAAATCAAAGTGAGTTTCTCTGCTTAGGATAAATGGCTACACTATGGCTACACTAAACAACACATAAAGTTACATTCACTTGCTAAATTGAAAATAGGACTATCACACAGTTTCAGATTGAGAAGATCATGCTAGCTTCTATTAATACTGTCTGTGAGGCAATATTGTATTACGAAAATGCCACTTTACTTCTGATTTGATATTTTAACGGAGTTGAAACAGAAACATTACGTGCATGTACTAGGTTGGCAAAAAAATCTGCTACAGGCAGTTTCTTCACGCTTCAAAGTTACTAAAAAGCAAATCCCACAGTATTACTGGCTTGTGAGTGATTTATCCAAGGTAACTGTAACACAGGTTTACATGTGTCATTCCTTCTTGGCTCACACTACTTTTACAGTAGCTGCAATGAGTACGTATCTCAAGATTGAAAAAAAAGTAAAAAAATCAGTGAATAGTAAACCCTGGAATATTCCCCCATGCACAAACCCTTTGCTTTATCCAACTTCAGTACGTACCAGCGTTGGAGAATTTTGATCTGGCCAAAAGGATTCAGGAACAGGCCAATGACCTATAGGAACCCCAGTTTTAGGGTTTGGTCTGACATAAATAAGTTTGTGACAGCTGTGCCAAGGCTGGGGTCCAAAGGGTCTAGATATATCCACCTGCCCATCTACAGAAGAAAAGGCTTTATGAGTCAAAATAGTGTTGAAACTCAAAGAGTATTAAGCAACTTCTGTGAAAAATTTAAGAATTATACTGCCAGGGAAACTCTTCCTGCAGTTAATGCTATTTCTGAGAATAGCAAATAGTTGTCAGTAAGCATTTCTGCAAAAACCCAGGAACTACGAGAAACCAAATAAGCGTTGAACATTTACAGGATCAGAGCTGAGAAAGCCAATTAGCTGGAACCTTTGTAACAATCATTTTCTTTCTCCTCCCATTGTTACTACCAGATAACCTTCAAATCTCTACACCTTAGAAAAAAAGATTTGATACACACAACTAATACTGCTGGACTAACTTTTTATTGCAGCAAAGCAGTAAGCACTTCCCAGTAACATCCCAAGAGGGACATAGGTAAGATAAGGCTGCACAGTTGTATTTGTTATTTTAACTCTTAGTGCAGCCACTTTACTACATTAGACAAAAAAGGATAAATGTATAAACCCCACAGTATTTCCTTATCAATCTATTTGCATTTCTAGCTGGTTCAAAACCACTTCTTAAAACCCATGAACCAATTTCACTATGCTTGTTGTTAATAACTGCATTTAAGGCTACCTGAGTAATATGACCAGAGAGCTTTTACACAGGGTCTTGCAGCTGTAGCCAGTACTTTGAAAGAGTACGACAGAATTTCAGACACAGCAGGTCCTTTTTATAGTAATGTCTTTTAAATTGCAACAGGTTTCATCTTGTTTTGGCAACTTTTACATTAAGTTCATTAAATTTTACTTTTTTATATATATATATCCCAGCCACCTGATATCATGGTATAAAAAGTTTCAAGTACCGTCAATTGGTGAGGGATCCGGTCCAGCTTTTTCAAAATTTATTACCACTCCACTTTGCACTTTTTGCACCAGTGACTCAAGACACTGATTCAGCATTCTTGGAGAGCACACACAATATGATCGACCTAAAATGAAACAATCAAGGTGAAGGTTGTTCAGCATTTCTGCCTTTATTTGAACTTCGATCATTCGAAACTGTTCACATCTGCCACCCACACTGATTCATGGATGGATCACTGATTTAAAGCTTCTACCAAACACTTCCTCTTTGTTTTAGCAGCACGGCAGCCTAGTAAAGCAGTGACAGTGCAGGCACCTCACTGGAAACGTTTGGGGTTTAGCCCCTTAGTCCCTTTAACTCAAATTGTTGGTTGCATTCATGGAAAATGGGCTCCCCCTTGTGACGGACGTCAGCACTCAACTGTCCACGAATTGCAGTCAAAGCACTATTGCTATAACCTACATTGCCCTCAGGAAGTAGTAGATCAAGCCCTTTTGGAACACTTTTTACATCCCTTTGCTTGCTTTCTATCACATCCTCTCCAACGTATCAGAAGAACTCGTATGTTTTTAATATGTGATGTAATCAAAAACTTCCACAAACAAATTATAAAATCAATGCCTTTGATCTGGAATATCAAAAATATGAGTTATGATGGAGAGAGAAGTCCATTTTTGTTGTGAATTACTATGCATTCTGCATTGTAGAAATTTGGCATTGCATTCTGCATGCTCTGGAAGGAAAAAAAAAAACCACGACTCAACACATTTCCTTCCCTTTTGACTTTTTTAGATCACAGTATGCCAGGAATTTAGCAAAACTGTACTGCAGAACAGACACAATTCTTAGAACTTCTGACTGCAAAACCAAGGCATGCTAGAAAAAGGTAAGTTTTCTAAAAAAATTGCTAAAGTAGATTCACACTCTTCCATGATAGGCTACATGTAGCTTTAATGCCTTTAGTTTTATTACATCTGGGTTCTGAGTTTTTACAAATACTGTAAGAACTTAGAAATACGTATTCCACCCCACAGGCGCATGATTAATAGAGCTACACTGAAGTGATTTTCCTTTTGAAAAGTATTTATTGACTAGTCAAAGGAAACCAGGGCACTCACCTCCTGTGACTTCGCACATAGGTGTGATTGCGGAGTCATCAACTGGTACCCCCGTCACCTGCTCCGATTCCGGTGCTGTAATCCCAGGCAAGCGCAGAACCAAAGCAAATAACCTCTGATCCCATCGAAAGGGTTCCTTAGTCAACTCACTTCCAGGTAGAGGGGAATTGAGAGGTAAATGGAGCTGGAAAGGAATTTAAATTTGTGAATAGATTGCTTTTAAAAAATAATAAATAAATAAATTCAGGTTGCATAATGATGGCAATTCACTCTATATAAACACACTAATAACCTCTCTACAGATACTTATAATTTGATTTAGGCACTGTACATAACAAGCAAGATGCCCATCATTTAATCAACACTTCAAATGCTTCAAGGCAACATGACTCATGAATGTGAGAGGTGCAAGCCAAGTGGGCACAACCACTTTTAAAAACTGATCTGAACTTCAGAATCAATAGAATATTTTCTTTAGAACTGCAGCAGTAAGAACTGACTCACTGCAACATTCTTTTATTCAAACTGTTTTCTGCAGAACAGGCCCATTCTCAGCTGTCTCTTCCTCAATTCTTCAAGATCACAAGCACAACTGAATGAAGAATTAATCTGAGACTCCTGCAGACAAAATATAACTTGGGTATAGTTGCTCAAAAAATAAAAATAAAATCTAGCTGCCATGATCACCTACTCCAAATAACTTAGCTTCAACAAGTGAACTAACGTAGTAGTTATACAATCAGAAGGCAGAGATTTTACATAACTTGGGTATAACTTACAGTTAAACTCATGCCTGTGATTAAAGTGAAAAGCAGAGAATAAAATCAACACGGAAACACAAAGGGAGTTCTGACTTTTAGGTAAGAGCCACAGCTACCCATACAAGGAAGAATTGCTTTGCCACGCGCCACTGTGTTGCCTCTGTCTGGGAAAAACTAGACAGAAGTTTTAATTCAAAATATTCAAGATATCATCCATGAACAAATAATACACATGGGCATTTCTTTCACTGTAACTCCCAGAAGAGACAGTAAAGAAATTCGAGTTTCAGACTTCAAACATGCTGCACTAGAGATACAGAGATGGTCAGGATATTATTTATTAATCACTAACAGCAACAGCCAGAGAGACTAACAGAAGACATAAAGTTCCCAGGCTTGGTGGCAATTTTGTAACTAGTTAACTCAAATAAGAAAGAAACATCAATGTGTTAGCTTCTAAGGGACAGCACGAGGTATTCAGAAGACTCAAGTCTCTCTTTCTGCATGCGGATATGTCACACAGAGATTAGTGAGAAAACAAAAGCTTGTCAAAACATCCAAGTACAGAAGCACTGAACAGACAGACTCATAATGAGCTGTTACAAATTCCAGAAAAACTGATAGATCCCTAGCTGTTGCTATGGCTGTCAGCACGCACAGAATTCTCATTTCACCTGGAGCACTGTAGCCATAAAGGTGAAAAAAGGAATCCCCCAAAGCAATGACAAGTAGTGCAAACAGTTCCATCACCCACCCAAATACAAGGATTAAGCCCAAAAGCTGAAGCAAACTCAACACTTCTCATTGTCCTGGTTTGAGCTAAACAGAACCAATTCTGCTCAGTGGTTTTACTTTTCAGCTGAGTCTCTTCTAACAGGCTGCCCTTTCTGAAGTTAACAGCATGTTTTTGCAGACAGTGTCTGCTACTAAAAGAGATAATGCCCGATGTTCATAGTTCTGCCTGGGACTGGTATGTAGAAAGGCTCTTGCTTATACTTACTCCTATAGTGACCAAGGTTACTGCTGGAGCTTGTGTAACATCGTGGAGGTGTTGGCAAGTAAAAGGGTCACAAGGAAGTAAAAGGTTGCAACTTCAGATAAGACAAGTGAGCAACAAGAGCATTCCATTTCATACACATCACATTAAAACTGAGGAATCATGAGGTTGAAGCCTCTTCTTCAATGGCCTGCATCGAAGGAGGACTCTGTCGTCCCTTCTTCTACCTTTGATCCTAAAATACTAAAATGTTTGGGGTTGGAAGGGACCTCAAAAGATTATCTAGTCCAACCTCCCTGCCAGAGCAGGATCACCTACAGTAGGTCACACAGGAACGTGTCCAGTCAGGTTTTGAAAGTCTCCAGAGAAGGAGACTCCACAACCTCTCTGGGCAGCCTGTGCCAGTGCTCTGTCACCCTCACACTAAAAAAGTTTCTCCTCACATTGAGGTGGAACTTCCTACATTCTACTTTACACTCATTATTCCTTGACCTATTACTGGGCATCACCAGGAAGAGACTGGCACTTTCCTCTTCACACCCACTCCTCACATATTTGCATACATTAATAAGATCTCCTCTCAGCCATCTCCTTTCAAGGCTAA